CACATCAGCAGTTATTTGCAAAGTTTCACATCATCAGCTATTTTGCAAAGATTTCAGGTGTCCGCCACCTGGGATCGAAAGGCATGTACCAGTACTTTTTCTCGACCTTAACTGTAAGTTCCCTGCTGTAATATTTTTAAGTTTTGGAATTATGATTTTTGAATTTGGTTTATTTTTTTTTCTTGTAAAGATGGGTTTTTTTCTTGTAAAAATTTTTGCTATGATTTTTCGGACAGCATTCAGCGGTTTGTGATACAAACACAACTTAGTCGCGGCCTGCAGTTACTAAAAACCTAAAATAAACAGGCTTATTTTATAGCAGACGACATGACGGAGGAAATACCATCGGATGATGGCAGTGTGCGAATGGCTGGATTGCAGGCTTTCTTACCAAAGGAACATTATGGACGTATTGTTATGCTGCCAATTTTGGAACACGGTACCACTGATGTAAGATTGTTTCTCTCTTTTTTAATTTAGTAGAGATTTCCAGATAATGCAGAAGAATATTTTAAAATGATAATTAGCATCTTAGCTCCCTCATCCCGTTTTTCTCTTTTAGCCTCTCCTCATTTTTGGTTTTTTTTTTCTTTTATTCTCCTTTTGGTTCAAATTCCTTTAAGCTATTTGCTTCTTATGACAGCGTTACGACGTAACAACATTTTTTTCCTCTTACCGTTTTGGACCGAATTTGCTGGGTTTTTTAAAATTTTCGAATTCAAATACGATTTATTGCTTCTACTATTCGAGTAGCTTAGTCATTTATGTTTGCAGACATCAGCGACTTGTTCCTGGGATAGTTCCATTCATGAGCATCCGGCGCTCAACAAGCCAACTGACGGTTCCGATCATGTATACGCTATTGTAAAGGTATTTTAAAGGCTGCTGTTTTGTCATACTTTTTAGTCATATAGTTGACTAGCTATTGTGCTAGTCACTCCTCTCCAGGGCTACATCCCTTCATTTTTCACTGACCAAGTACGCTTACTCAGCAAGGAATTTTGAAGCAGTATTTTTCTTAGCAGTATTTGCTGGCTTAAAATAAAGGGACCAAAGAACGGCTGCTGCAGTCAAGTCCTACCCTACTTTTCTGGCGTCGACAAACAAGTGATCTTGTCATCCGGGCAAATTTTGTGGCTCCTAAAGCCCGTTTGTAGAGCTCCAGTCTCAGGTATTACACTTCGCAAATTGGCACTCTGAACATAATCTACCTTTTTCCATGAATTTTTATGAAGCAGTCGCCAAAAACCGTTCTTTTTCCCATTTTTATGCGTTTTTGCTGTGCAGCGCTATAGCGCTGCTACAGCCAGCAAAAACGCATATT